TACACAGCCCTGTCATTGTGGGGCTTTTGGGGTGGTTTGTTGGTTTTTTTTAGCTGACTCATATTCTGAAGAGATCAAAGAGAGAAAAGAAACATGAAATACTGTATTTCACACTTTGTCTTCCCCAGCAGGTTGCTTGAAAGATCTTTTCAAATGGGCTATTCCTCTTGCAAATCACTCTATAAATTGTAAATTTTTTGATCAAATATTGTACTTGTTACTTTGCAGAAACAGAAGGAAATTTTATTAAAAGAGCAAGCACAACACCCAACAACCTGGGCCGGACAGGCAGCAGGGCAGCATGGCTGGGAACATTACTTAGAGTGAAACATTCATTGTACCACTGCAAAAGTAATGCATCCTCATAAAAAGTGGGTCTCAAGTGCTGCTCAGTGGATACAATGGACTTGAAACAGTGAAGGGCTCTTCAAAAATTTGATGAAATTAAGGAGGAATTTGGACTCAACTCTTAGCAATGCAAATACAAATGAAAACATAAAAACTCCCCCTGCTCAGCTGTGATCGTAGTGTGACGTATTCAAAATTCAGGAAGTGAATTTTGAGTTGTTGGCAGCACAGACTTAGGAAGAAGGGGGTGCAATGGACGTTGTAGACCCTTCTGCCGAAATAGGCACTGTGGAGCAGAGCAAGCATTCCTACCTCAAGCAACAGGGCTGCAGCATCCCACCCCGGGGTGGTGGTTCTATTGATACATTCAATGCATATTTTTAAAAGCATTTGTCTTCTCAATTGATTGAAAGAACATCTGCCCAACTTACATTGGACATTGAGATTAGTAAAGCAATGTAGTAACCATCTTTACAAATTATTTTAAATTCCTTAATTTTAAACACATGAGAAAGTCTAAAAGCCTGAATTTTTAGACACAGAGGATTTGATAATCATAATAATCTTTTAGGTACTTATTCCCTGAGGAATTACATCATCACTACTCTACAACCTACAAATGAGTTGTCTATTTCTACAGACCACAGTTCTGATACTTAACATGACATCAGCAGATACAGAAAAGCTATCCATTTAGTGCAGTGTCTGATATGTACAAATACAATTTTTTCAGCTGCTTAATTCTTTAGCATCTGTAACATTGTTTCTTCTATGTGTATCCTTTCTCTCTGCACAAATTAATCTTTTCTTTTCTTTGTGACACCCTTTAGCTAATGCCTCACTGAACTGTAAACTTTATTGTAGATAAACCATGGCAAGATCATTTGGTTAAAAGCAGAAAAGATTATCTTTGTCTAGCACATTATTTCAAAGAATTTTATTACAGATGGTGCACTGGACTCAATTTTGTTTAACGTTGTCAGTTGTGGTAATTTACATACTTTGCTGATTTTTTTTCTAGGTACACGAAAATGAAGACTGCCACCAATATCTATATTTTCAATCTTGCGTTGGCAGATGCCCTAGCAACAAGTACTCTGCCATTCCAGAGTGTGAATTATTTGATGGGAACCTGGCCATTTGGTACCATCCTTTGTAAGATTGTTATATCCATAGACTACTACAATATGTTCACCAGTATCTTTACACTCTGCACCATGAGTGTGGATCGCTACGTAGCTGTTTGCCACCCAGTTAAGGCCCTTGATTTCCGTACCCCCAGAAATGCCAAAATTGTCAATGTTTGCAACTGGATTCTTTCTTCTGCCATTGGCCTACCAGTTATGTTCATGGCAACTACTAAATACAGGCATGGTAAGTTTGGCTTTCTTTCCTATATTGAGTATTTCAATGCTTAAACTCCTTTCTGCATTATTTCACTTTATTGTAGAGGCATTAATTCTTAACTTCTGGCCTCCATCCTGTATAAAGCAGGTGTCAGTGCAAGTGGATCCTTTCAACACTTTTGTGTCTGGCTGTAGTTGGCTGGACATGGCACTGCACATGTTCCGTCTTTTACAACAGGCAGCTCCAGCTTCTTCTGTGGGTCCGTGCGAGTCTCGCTGCCCCACACAGTCACTGTAGTGTTTGGAAAAGCGTCTGTGCCTGCCTGCCTTCTGCTGCTGGGCGGTTATGCACTGCCCTACAGCACAGAAGCCTGTGCCTTACCCAGGGCATTCCCGCTGAAGCTGGCAGTCATAGATATGTTGCACCTAGTCTGGCGGGACGTGATACAGAGCAGAAAGCATGTTCTGGATCACTGGTGCTCAAAGACCTTCCATGAAGTGACAGCATCTCAACAAAAACCCAAACCCTCCATTGTGCACAGTTACCAAGTATCATTTCATTCTCTTCCCCATTGCCCTGAAATGCCCAAACTCTCAGCAGATATGGTGGTTAAACCATCTTTCTTATCACCAGGATTTATACTGAAAGTGAAAATGAGTCAAAGTTTAAACATTTATGACAATTCAGATCTTTTTCTTCTTTATGGAATTCCCAGCAATAAAATGCAAAAGAGAACACATTACTTGGGTTTTGTTTTTCTAACTCACACTTCATACATGTTTTGCAGCACTGTGTCCCATCAATGTTTGTGCTGATGACAGGTCACAGACTGCTTCATTTTATGTGTTTACTTAGTAAATCTTTGTGTATTTGCCTATGATATTTAATAAAAAAGGTTTAAAAAGAAGCAAATTAAAGCCTGACCTGCTTGTTTTTCTCTGCTGTTTTCTTTTTTTTTCCAGGTTCTATTGACTGCACACTTACGTTCTCCCACCCTGCGTGGTACTGGGAGAACCTCCTGAAAATTTGTGTGTTCATCTTTGCCTTCATCATGCCAGTCCTGATCATTACTGTGTGCTATGGGCTGATGATTTTACGCCTGAAGAGCGTTCGCATGTTATCTGGCTCCAAAGAGAAGGACAGGAACCTGCGGAGAATCACGAGGATGGTTCTTGTAGTGGTGGCGGTGTTTATTGTCTGCTGGACTCCCATCCACATTTATGTCATCATTAAAGCCCTGGTCAACATCCCAGAAACTACTTTCCAGACTGTGTCCTGGCACTTCTGTATTGCCTTAGGGTATACAAATAGCTGCCTTAATCCAGTCCTTTATGCATTTCTAGATGAGAATTTCAAAAGGTGTTTCAGAGAGTTCTGCATCCCCACTTCCTCAACCATTGAGCAGCAAAACTCCACCCGAGTCCGACAAAACACTCGTGACCATGCTTCCACTGCCAACACTGTGGACAGGACTAACCATCAGGTATGACTAGCAGTGGAGATGTCATCTCTGGATCCAGGCCTCCCGCTTGGAGATGACATGTATTCTGAAGTTACAGTTTATACTGATTTGTAGCTACTTGAAGGTCTGAACACCTTCAGGGGTAGATCTGAAACTGGTGTATGCATACCCAGAGGCCCCAGTCCTGCATGGTGCTAGTTGTTCTCTCCTCTAGTTGATGCTCAGGTACCTTGCATGACCGGGTCCAGTGTGCATGCATATGCAAACCACACAAAAAAGTGTTTCATTTGCAGGATGTTTACAACAGGTGACTGCTTTACAATTGGTTGGAGATTAATCACAAATTTCTCTATTCATACTCCTTGTCTGCTGATGGGGAGTGGGACAGAATATAGATCTCTCTGCTCCCATTGCAACACTGAACAAAAATGAGAAGAAACTGTGCTTGTACACTTTTGATTGATGTACAAAGAAGGCCTACCTGGCCTTGTTTGTCCTGGAAGACATGCAAGAAGTAGACAAAGGTTTGTCTACATGCAGTTCTTGTATCAGATAATTATCTATGTTGGCTAAGGTGGGGTTTGAGATATATATATATATATATATATA